CAATTGGTTCCAAACTTGGGTCTCTCCCAATCCTGGTGCCCATAAGATCTTCCTTCACTTTGCCTCCTCTGGGACCCTACACCTGCCCCTTTCTGGGACCTGCTTGGTGACTCTATCTGTCTTTCCCCCACCAGATCCAGGGCCTCATGGACAAGGCTGCTCTTGTCACTTTTGCACTTATTTTGCAGGTAGGGATTGAGATCCAGAAAAGTGAAGTGCCTTGCCCAAGGTCACACAGCTAGTAAGTGATGGAACAAGAATTCTAATCCAATCTGCCTGACTTGGAGTGTGAGCTTTCTGTGAATGATGCCAGGCTTACTATCCAAGTGCTAGAGGTAGCAGGGGGGACATCCTTAAAACTGACTCTTGGAGCTCAGAAGGCATTAGCTCCTTAGGCTAAGAACAGACCAAAGGGCCCCAAACCCAGGTCTGACCTCAGGTTAATTTCCACCCTGGCTTGCTGATTGCTTTGGACATATCTCTAATGCCCCCAGGGCCTCAGTTTTCCTCATCTGCAATCTAGGAGAGTAAACACTGCTTTGTTTGGCCCTGCATCCAAGAAGATCCAAAGAGGAAAACTCTGGGCTTGGAAACTGTAGCATGTGATTATAAAAACCATGTGTGCTGAGTAGAAGCAGAATCCATCGTCCTGGGCATGTCACTTCCTACCTAACTCTTGATTTCCTGCTCTGAGAGATGGCATCAAAGATGCTAACCTAACAGGGCTACTGTGAGTGAGGTCTGAGCTTGGATGTGGGCTGATGTGGCCCAGATTGCAGCCAACTTGGAAAATCTCCTTGGAGATGTCATTTCAGCTCATCCAGAACTTGTCACCTGTCCAGCTTACGGGCCTCAGTTGCAGTTCCAAGGCAGCTCTGATGTGGGAGCAGAGGAGCTCAGGAAAGTGGTGTTAGTTATACCAGGGAAAAAGTAGGCACTGTACACACCTCTGCTCCCAGCATGCCTGGTCTGAGGATGAGGATACTAATGGTCAGAAAGAGCTGCAGAGCAGTCACACCTCTACCTACAGTACTGGCAGCCTAAGCTCCAACCATCACGGTACTCCTCAGGAGCCAGGGTGCCCATACTAGCCAAGGACTCCCACGTCAGCAGAGGGTACAGGCCCCATGACCTTTGACCACCAGCTTTGTCTTGAGGTGGTGGAGAGAGTCCCAGAGCAGAGGCTTCAGGAGACTATGTTCTTCTCTTGGTTCTACTTCTGCCTGACTGTACAGGCAGTCCTCAGGTGAGTCCTTCCCCATGTGTCAAGTAGGGACACTTCTCAATCTCCTCCACCGGGCTGTTGGGAGGGCCTGGGAGGTGGGGGATGTGGATAAAAGGGCTAAGGGCTAAAGGAGGCATCTAGCCCCAGAAAGGGAGGCTGGTATGTTTCCCCAACCCAGGGGCTCATTGTCAGGGGAGGGAGGAAGAAAGGAGGTGGCCAGGGAAGACAGAGATTGAAGACAAGAAAGCATCTACCCTGCCCAACTCCACCCACATGCCATGAAGATGAGCTCAAAATCCTGGCCCTCAGTCCCACATCTCTGCCTCCTCTCCTCCTTCCCCATGCTCAACAAAGGCCCGGGGGCTGTCCTCTCAGCTCAGACACATCATGGCCTTCCCTATCTCCAGCCTGCGGAGCTGGGCAGAGACACGGGTGGTGGGGGTGAGAGACACCACATACGCTGACAAAGGACTACTGAAATGACCCCAACCACCCCAATTCATAGATGAGGCAATCAAGACTCAGAGAGGGGAAAGAACATGCCCAACAGCACCCAGCACAGGTAGCCCACCCAGCTCACATTCCCTCTGTGGGCCCTCAAGGACCCCCAGGGGCCTCACCTTCCAGAGCCCACAGGTAATACTTCACCAGCTCTACCACCTCCTGCCTGTTCTCCGAGAGCACGATCCCAAAGCCAGCCAGCAGGTAGGAGACATCTGTGGTGATCCCCGCCCTTACCTTCTGGATGGTGGGTATCACGCTCACCAACAACAGCAGGCCAACCTGGAAGAGCCCCAAGAATGAAGGCGCCAGGGCCCAGCTGTACTGAACCAGGCACTCCCATCCCAGGAAAAGTGTTTTCTGAGTCACAGGGAGGGAGACTTTAGGGGAGAAACTCTGGCAGTGCACTGGCTGCATCTCTGTGCCCAGCACCCATTAGTGTTCTAATCTGCCCCATAAACAACCTCTGATCCTCGTGCCTCTGATTAGCAGGTTACAAACAGATCCCACTTTAGCATAATAGGCCGCAGGTATAATTTCAAGTAGCACAACTGTATAGCTCTACCTGTTTATCAATCATTTCTAAACTTCAGAGTATATATTTTCCAATTTTTCCAAGTTAGAGAAAGCAAAGTGTCACTGGCATCGAAGCTGGACAGACCTGGATTCAGATATTTGCTGCCCTGAGATATCAGCTATGGGAGTTTGGCCAAGTCAAATCCACCTCTTTGAGCCTCAACTTCCCTATTCCATAAAATGGAGAAAATCATACCTATATCCCAGGATTTGGGTTTGTTTGTTTGGGGTAGTAGTAATGGTGGTAGGGGTGGTAGGGATTTATCAAACACATATTGTTTCACTAAATCTTCCCAGCTACCCAAAGAGGAAGATAATTCCATTTCCTTCATTTTCAGCTGAGCTAATGGCTTCAAGGATGTTGAGTAATTCGCCCAAGGTCACAGGAGGTAAGTAATGGAGCTAGGATTTAAACTCATGTTGATGTGACTCTGAAACTCATGCTCTGACTCTTTGTGAGCCCAACAAGAGTTAATACCCACTCCCTTCTTGGTAGGCCAGTGTTTCCAAGACACCAAAAGCAGAAGGACAGCATTGTGGATGGGACTTTTGGAAAGCTGAGCTGGGCCCAAGCTGTCCAGGCTTTGGGGTCACGGTCAAGGGTCCAGAGGCAAATGGTACTGCAAAGGCAGGGCATACCTGGTAGATAGCCGTCCCTGTCAGGGTGGCTGAAAGCACCAGCTTCAGGGGGAGTCGGAATCCTGCAGTTCCCAGAAGGAGGGGTATGATGAGCCATGAGGATGCTGCCCCATGAACAGCATCCTCATGCCTCTGACCAGCATGTTACAAACAGATCCAATTTTAGCGTAATAGGCCACAGGTATGATTTCAGGTAGCACAATTGTATATCTACACTTCGGGTGGTGACCCAAGCTCAGAAGCCCTATCTCTCCCCAGAGGCCCAGGAAAAGGGCCAGAGCTCCTATGACCCTGGACAACCAAGGCCAGGCCGGGCCAGGGGACTTCCCCTTGTCATAAGCTGGAGACCATTCCTCCCGATGATAGGGTGCGGGGGGTGGAGCGGGCAATAGCTGGCCTTCCACTGCAGCTGTTCTGTGAATGGGAAGGAGGAGGTCACTTGCCACTCTTGACCTCAGCTCCCCACCTCATACCTTGCTGTGGAGTGTAGATGTAGTGTCTGAAGCAGATCCAGGCCCGGAGCAGAAAGCCATGCTTGGAGGTGTGGGAGCTGCAGAAAGACCCAGGTCGGGGAGGTGGCTTAGGAGAAGCCCCTGCCCAGAGCCCCATAATTTGGTTCATTCCTCATCTCTGCCCCATCAGGCTGTACAGTGCTAGCCAGCACCCTGCCCCCCAAAACAAGCCTGCCTAACCAGCCCTGTCCACTGGCCCAGAGAGTGTGCCTAGAACCTCACCTGCTTCCCAGCTTCTTCCGGCAAAGAAGAGTCCTCAGATATTCCTCAGGATAGCTGTCCTGCAGCCCCTGTGTGGACACAGATGAAACCCGCCTTGAGCCATCCCTGGGGCCTTGGTCCAGGATACCACAGTGGGCACCTAGTAGGTGCTTCATAAAAACCTTTTGGTTGTAATGAAGTACAAAGAAAGGCCAACCTGGAGAACAAAGCCCGTGCCCCCAGCCCTGCCCTTTCCTCTTCTACAAATACAAGACGAATTAGTCTCCTATCCAAGAACATACAATGCTGGCAAGCTCTTCCTAAGGGCACCTCCAACGTCTCCTGCTTTATTTAGTCATATCTCGTCACTACTTCCCTCCTGGCCCCCTGGCCTCTGCTATCTGAGACTAGTGCGAAGGGAGCCTATGTCTCATGCGCACATCCCTGACCAGGACACAGAACGGGGCCATTCCGGGTCAAATCCACCAGGCTTCTCCTCCTACTCAAGGAGATCACAAGGGTGACTGGATTTGTCTAAGCCACATTCCAGGCCTTAAGCTGACAGCCAAATGGCAGAGGCCCATGGAAAGAAGGGGTGAGGTTCTGTCCCCATTATTAGGAGAATATAGGCCATTGTCACCTATTGCCATAGGATCCAGGGCAGGTGTGGGTCAGCTCAAAGCTTGACTGTGTCTTTTGAGGCTTAAACCTCTTTGACTAAGGGCCAAAAAGGATTTTACTTTCCCCAAGACTTCTCAAGAGGAAAAGTATGCAATGGGGGGAGAGGTGAGGCAGAGAAGATGCCTGGAAGAGGAGGGAAAGGGATTCCTGAAACAGAGAAGTGCTTGGTGCATTGTGCATCCTGGGGAGCTGCTCCGCTCTTATGAGCCAGCTGTAAAAATGAGGGAACAACAGGCTTCCCCAGAGGATCAGGAGGCAGGGGCGACAAATACTCAGAACCCTACTGCTACTACATGAGAGCCAAACCCAGAGTCAGGTGGGCCCGTGGGGACCCAGGGTGGTCCCTGGAGAATCTGAGCCCATTTGGCCTATTCTCCCTTCACCCTTCATCCCCACTTGGGGATCTCGCTCCTTCTTGGACTTTGGTCCCAGGCCCTCTCCTGAATGCCAGGCCCATGGTCCAGCTCCCTAAATGCCACATACTCACAACTGTACATCACCCCTGCATACCTGCTCTCATCCAGCATTCCACATGTCAGCAACTGGCACCACCATCTACCTGCTGTCTGTCCTAGATGCCACCCTTCAAGCCTTTTCTTCATTTGTTGCAGCTTAAGAGTAACTAGCCCTTTGCATCTGTATCTTCACCCTTTCTCAAGGGCCTCTGTGAAGCAGATTTCCTCTTCCTCCTCTCTCGCCAGGAAGAATACTTGACCCTTCCACCACCCACACTCCAATGGCACTTGGATGAGCCCCTGTTGCACTTTTCACATTGCTGTAAATATATGTTGCTGCATCCATCTCCCCCAGCACAATGGGAGCTCCTGGAGGTCAGACACAGTCAGTCAGCTCTGAGTCCACAGTACCTAGCCCAGGACCTGGCACTTGGCAAGTGCTCAGAAGGCTTCTTAATAAGATTGCCATATCTTATAAGACCTCTCTCTCGACCTCATGTACCCATCCATCTATCCAAACTTCAGAAATATTTGCTGAGTGTCTACTATGTGCAAACACCAGCCAGATGCTATATATCAGGCATGAACAAAACAGATGCAACCCATCCCTGCTCCTTTACTCATGCTCTTTTCTGTGCCTGTAGTGCCTTTTCCTTATTCTTGCCCCATTCCAGATCCTCTCTGTCCTTCAGGCCCCTGCTCAAGTTTACCTCCTCCAGGAAGCCCTCCCCTTTATCTGACATCATCCATCCAAGAGTTGATTCATAACACAATTTTGCCCTGAGTGCTTCCTGGATCATGTCAGCATCTGCAGAGCTCCTATCAGGCACAAGCCTCCTGGCTTATCTCATGCCTCCAGCTGAATCCCCAGTGGTTCAGAACCAGAGCCCACTTCTTTGTTGAGTCCCTTCTGAGCACATAGCTCAGTGCTTAGAGTATCCTGAGTGTCAGCCAAGGGCCTGCCCTATCCTTTGTCTGGGGAGGGAGGACTAACCAGTCACTTGGAGATTCAGAAACCTTTTCTGAGCACCTGCTATGTGCTGGGCCCTCCAACAAGCATGACCAATGTATAGGGGACCAACAGACAAGGGGAGCTCAGCCCAGCCCCTTTACCTCAGAGCGCATTCCTCTCCTATGACCGAAGCTTCTCAACAGCTGCACTGGGTACCAAAGGCTCAGGAATCCGAGGCCCAAAAGGAGAGGCAGGGAGGCCAGCAGGGAGTAGTACTTATAGATCTGGATAGACAGACAAACATCAGACATACCAACCTTCTGCCTTCCTCCCCCAAACAAAGCCTAGTATCCATTTCCCTTCCCACCCCGACCTCAACCTGGGCCATTAAGGACAACCATTCTCACTTCTCTTTCTTGGAACCAGCAGAGGTGCCTGTCCCTCAGCCCCCGCCAGCCCCTGGATTCCCATGGTCCTTAGAGGAACCGAAGGGAGATTATATAACCACCTCCTCCCCACCCAGAGGGCTGCAATGGGCCTGAAACAGGGATACCCACTTTCTGTTCCTATGTTCCTGGCACTTTGAACACAGGACCCTGAAAATTAGACAAAGGCCTAATTTTGTCTGTGTACAATTTGCAACCTGGGCATCGGAGAAGTACCTACCCTATCTCCTGGTATTGAGGTCTTCATCCCTGAAGTCTTGGGGTTGGAACCCTTATACATTCATTTATTTATTTGTTATGCAATACATTTTAATTGAGAGCTTGGTATGTGCTAGGTTCTGGGTAGTAAAAAAGACCAATCAACTCCCAGCTCTCAGAGAAGCCAGTTTATCTTTACCTCTAACCCGAGGGATTGGTAATACCATCTCCATTAACAGGTAAACTGAATCTCAGGAAGGTGATATGCACTTAGCATCAACTGGTATCATTCTGCACATTTGTTTGTTTAGTTGTTTATTGTGTCTCCCCTTCTGGAATGGCAGCTCTGGGATGCCAGGGACCTCATCTGCCTTGTTCACAGCTGTCTTCCAGTGCATGAGAATGTCCCTGGTACAGACTGTGTACTTCAAATATCTTTGTTAAATTAATGGATAGATGGATGGATGAGTGAATGAATGAATGAAGCTAGACTCAAACTTGGGTTGTCTGGCTCTGAGGCCTACACTCCCAGCTTCATACCCCCAACCAGCAGCCAGTGAACCAGGTGAGGTTCTCAAATTCTCATTTTAGCCCTCCGAGACCATTTCCTGACTCAGTGCTTGCCATCCTCTATCTGTCTTCAGTTCCACTCCAGCCTGGCCAAGGGAAGGCTAGGGAATCAACAATGGGGAGATTTCAAGCTTCCTCTTCCTTTTCCTCTGCCTCTGCCCCTGCCCCATCCCTGTCCCCTCCAGACTGGAAGCCCCTGAGAGCTGGCTCAGCTGCCTTGTTTCATAGAGGGGCCACGTGGAAAAGGAGTGGAATCCCGTGTACAGTGGAAGGCAGCAGAAAAGCCCAGCATACGAACAGGCCATGGTTACCTTGGGTACCTGGGGACACTCTGCCCTCTGCCAGACCTGGACCCCAAAGTGAGCCCAGGACAGTACGCTGCCAAGTAGGTGTGAGGTTCCATGCCTGACTGTGGCACAGGCGGCCAGGGGATAGTAGAGGGCAGGGTAATAGAGAAGCGCCAGCATCTTCCAGGGCCCTGAAAGGCAAGATGGGCAGAGAGAAAATGATGGAGGAGCAAGGCCCACTCAGGCCCCTTTCCTGTCTCTGTCTTCCAAGCCCCTTGGCTGGTTCAGTGAGCGAGGGTCCTGTGTTCAAATCCATGCTCTGACTAATATCAGCTCTGTGATCTTGGGCTAGTTACCTCTTGGAGTCTCAATTTCCCCCTCTGTGAAATGGAAATAATAGCACTAAATTATCAAAGACAGAACGAGACGGTACATGTACAGTCCTTACCATAGGACCTAAGTTAGTACTCAATATATCAAGCTACTACTTTATCTCCTTCTCTGACCCTCAGCATCTTCCACTGTAAAGTAGGGCTAATATCTATAATTTGTAGAGTCACTGTGGGGATTGGATGATCTAAGGAGGTCATGTCACAGGACAGTGGCTCCTTTTGAAGGCAGTTATCCTTGTTACTACCACCTCTGTGAGCCCAACTCAATTCTCCAGGACTCCTCCCTGTCACTCTCTCACCCTCCTTTATTCCCATGGGGGGAGGGCTGTCTGGGGGACTCAGCTTGTGCCCATGAATGACAGTTCCCTTCCTCCTGGGGGTGGAGTTTGCACAAGAACAGAGGAAGCAGAAAGGGCAGTATTGACCCAAGGACTGGGAAGAACAAAGGGAAGGGATCAGATCTTGAGGGATAAAAGGGAGGGTAAGCCCATGACTGGGATAGGGAGTTCCTTAGCTCCCTACAGCAGAGCTCTGCCCCAATGCTCCAGATTTCCACCCCAACCCCATCCCATCAATCCAGGCCCAGGCCTCAGCTGCACTGGGTACCTCCGCTGGGTGGTGAGGCCAGGGTCAGGAAGGGCAGTGGGGCCTCAGCAGGGAGCAGCAGACACAGGGAGCTGAAGAGAACCATGAAGATAGCAGCAGGCACGGTCCGAGGGCCATCACCAGCTGAGAAATCCACAGGGCTGGTACAGCGAGAGGAAGAGGGACAGGACAGAAGGGAGCTGCTCAGGCCCCGCACGGCCATGACGTCATGTCATATTCCATAAACCAGGGAAGATGAGTCAGTTCCACTTCCCAAACAAGGAAATGAGGCCCTTCATCCATTCATTTCACAGATATTTATGGATTGCCTTCTATGTGCCAAGCTCTGGGCCCTGTGGCAGAGTGACTTGGGAACATACTCCCCCAACACACACACACACACACACACACACACACGAACAAGCCTGAGCACAGCTCCCTCCACCCACCCTGGATGCTCCAGGAAACAGCAGCCTCCACACTAATTGGTCTGTCTGGGCTGGCAGAACTTCAGAGAGCTCAGAGAGTCACAACATCCTTGCACAAGGGCCGCCACCCTGGCCTGGGTGTGTCCTTAGGGCAGAGGGCAAACAGCGGACACAGCTGTTCCAGGCATCATCCCTCTGGGCTTAGGGCAAACCAGTCAGATGCTCTACTTCTGTGATCCAGCTTACCCTTGTGTCCCGACAGCTCCATCTTGCTTCGCTCTCCCCCAAGCCCTTCCTCATGCAGGATAGAAACCCCAGGCTAGTTTCCCAAAAGCCAGCATGTAGAACCCATCTTGGTGTGCAGCCCAAGCCTGGGGTGCAAGGCCATCTAAGTTGGGATCCCACCCACCACCGCCCCAACCCTTCAGTCTTTCCCACACAAGCCTGCCCAGTCTCATCTCCTCTGGGTCATTCCTGTCTCAGGCTCTGGGGTTGCAGGGCTGAGGAGATGGGGGAGAAAGTCCCTCAGGGGCAATGAAGGTCACAGTGGTGTCAGGTAGCCATGGCCTGTCCAGACTGTGGGCCGTCTTATGAGGTGTGTCCTGGAGCTGGACCCTATTGGGCTTGTGGTTCCTTAGGGTTTGGAACAGGAGCAGGTAGACCTAAGCGGGTCCCTCTCCCTCTCTCTGGGGGTCCTGACTAAACCTGGAGATCTGATCTGAGTGGGGATGGGGAGAGCCCCAAAGCTGAGAGAAGAGGGGGTATCACTGAGGCCAGAACTGGCTTCTAGGTACCTAACAAATCACCACCCCCGAGAATGGCCCTGTCAGCTGCACTCCCTGAGCTGGTTGCTATAGCACCAACCTGGGCAGCCCAGGCCTGCCGTGTCCACAGCGGGGCCAAAGCTGGCGGCGCTTCACCAGCATGGCCAGCAGCAGCAACACAAGGATCTGAAAAGAGAGCACAGCAGAGGGAGGGGTTGGGGTGTCCAGGTGTTCCTTGAGGAGCTGAGTCCGAGGGCTCGGCCTCAGTAACCAGGAAGCCACCTATTCCCCGGAGGACACTTATGTGGCATCTTAGGGACTGGCCAGGTGGTGACAAATGTCTGAACTGTTGGGTTGGCCTACATCCTGATTTGAGTACCCCCCTCCCACATTTTGGGCTCCTGGGGGCCCCCCATACCAGCCCTACCAGGACACACAAGTCCCCCCGCCCGGGCTGGCAGCAGGTTGCAAGCCAGTCTGGACTCAGGTTCGACTCACCGACAGCACAGCCAAGCAGGCGTGGAGGAGGCCGGGTGGCACACTGGGATGGCAGGAGGGTACTGCCCTGCAGAGTGAGTGAAGGTCAGGCCTGGGTAAAGAACCCCTGGGTATACAGCCAGGTCTAGGGTTCCAGGCTGTCTACACTGGAGCTCTACCTCCATCAACCCTCTGATCTCTCCTATGTACAAGTCTGCCCCGTTCTGCCTTCTCAGGGTCATTCTGGGGCTCTCATGCCTCTATGGTATGTTAGCCCCCTGCCAAGCTCTGAGGTTCCAGGACTGAAGGAGACAGGGAACTCTTAGGGAACGAGTTAGGAAAAACAGAGTGGGCCAGCTTGGCCTGAACTTTTCTTCTTTCTCACCCAGATCCTTCTGAGCCTTCAAGACCCACTTCATCCCTCCTTCCTTCAAGGAGCCTCCCTGACTGCTCCAGGCCTCACAGACCTCTCCTCAGAACTGTGGCTGAGCATACTGCCGGGGTCAAACAATCAAGTGTTTGGCCCTACAATTTGCCTTCCACTCACTGGTATCTGAGTTTGGTCTGTGTCTGACTGGAATGATCTTCCTTGGTCTTCTAGGACTTACGTCTCTTCTTTTCCCATTTCCCTTTCATGTAAAGCTGAGCAGGTTGCACACTGTACAAGGACACCCAGACAAAGGGACAAGTATGGTCTGAAATCCAGGCCACACTCCTCATCAAGCCCTGCACCTACTGAGCTGCGTACATCTAAATGGGGGTCCCTCTTTCTAGTTACCACAAAGGCTTCCTATGGCCTGCTCTCACCATAGCTGAGCGCAGAGGTAGGCCCATGGTACAGATAAAGAGATCAATGAGCACAATGAAGGCTTCAACTTTCCTGGCTAGGTCATGTGGCAGAGAAAGGGGTAGGAGTCCTGAGCTCAGAGCTGGACCTGGACGTGGAGGCGGGTGGGGCAAATAGGACTGGATCCCTGGAGGGGAGAGAGACTTCTGGGTTTGCCCAGGTGGAGCCTGGGAGTGCCAGAGGGAGGACACCAGTGCGAGCAAGTCCAGCAATGCCTTGCGGAGTGAAGCATCAGAGGAAGCCCTGTGCTACAGCTGGGCCCTCCCTGCCTAGGAGGCTCTCCCACCGTCCTGGGCACCCTCCTTCTACGTGAAAAAGAAGACTCCCAAGGCCTCATCTGCAGGGTGAGCGTGGAGCACTAGGACTCTTCTGGGATAGCCCAGTTTCCTTGGAGCTTGCTTTCTCTCGGGAGTGAGAAGAGAAGAACCTGGTCACCTGGGCTTGTCCTTGGGGTAGAGAAACAGAAAAAGTCTGTTTTGTCCAACTTCTTGGCCAAGACAGAGCTAGCCTCTTCTCAAAGTGGAATTGTGCTCATGGGTAGAGTAGGTGTTATGTAGGGGGTCAGGTTCCCACTGTCTGAGCTCAGGCCTCACTCACCTCACTTCCAAATCTGAGGCTTCCTACTCCAGCATGTGGGGTGGGGTTTGGGCAAGGCAGGGCCCCTCTTAGACCCAAGAGCTCAAAATCACCTCTCTAGGCTCTCTCAGCATGTATCTCCTGCTCAACCCTGCTCAACCCCTAGGCCCTCGGGCAGCCTGACCATTTTTTCACTCACCGCAAACCAGGAGCACCACCACCCCAATGAATCCTCTCCAAAGCCCTGACTAGGGGAACCTCTGGCCCCTTCTGTAGCATCTGGAGTCCCCATCTACCCCTTAGTTCAGTTCGGCCAAGGCTCACGGACCCTCATGTTTGAGGTCTGAGCAACAGATATTTGGCCGATGGCCACGGACCCATGTTTTGTGCTGTGGGATAGGCAGGATGGCATGGACACAAAGAATATCACCTCAGACAGGGTGGGGAGCTTGACCCTCAGGTGGTAAAGGATGCAGGGGAGGGAGAGAACCTTGAAGCAAGGAATCAGAGGCAATGTCATTTGCTTTAAGTTTTAAAGATGATGAGAGCATCTCTTTAGGCAAAGAAGGGGAAAAGGAGCTCCGCGAAGAGGGAAGAGCAAGGGGAGTGACAAGCAGGTTGTGTGACTGGGGCCAGAAATGACTTTCAGCTTGATTTTAACCCAGAGGGTATGCCTAGAGCAGGTTATAGCAGGCGTGGGAGGCACTGAGGGCGTCTGACCAGGGCAGTGTTTGGGATTTTAGGAGATATCTGTGGCTAAATTTGAGTAACAATAACAGTAGTAACCAGTACTTACTAAGCACTGACTAAGTGCTAGGCACTCTTGGTTCCATGTATTAACTCAGTTATTACTCAAGGTGTGTGCTATTAGTTTCCCCCTTGGCAAGAAGCCAAGGCTCAGAGAGACTAAGACTCTTGCCCAAATCACACAGCTAGTAAAGCAGTAGACCAAGATTCGAACTGAGGTTGTCTGGCTCCAGTGCCTGTGTCTGACTGGGACGTGTGAAGTAAGGAGTATGTAAAAGAAGATATTAAGTTGAAACATATGAAATTGCCATTTCTGTAAATTAAAAATAGTTGAATATAAGCATTTTCAAATGGTTTGGCATAAATAGTCACCGGGGAGTGGAAAATGGCAGGCTGCATCTCAGAGGTATTTAGGAGGAAGAATGTACATGCCTTGATGTGGAGGAGCGGAGGGGAGGGGAGTTTCCGGAATGACTGTAGGGTTCTGGGCCTTATTCCAAGACAAGGGTTGAGCACCAGAGTCAAATGTAGCCCAAGGAGCTAAGGCTTGGTCTTGGACACTCAGGGACAGAGGCCAAACAGCAGTGTGCTGAGGACACCGAGACAAAGGGACAAACAACTGTTTCCAGAATTTGGCTCTAAACAGGAGCCTGCAAAGGGCCCCATCCAGAGGCTAGGGCAGAGCACATCTCTGTGGGTAAGAAGGAAGGGCTGACTGTCTGGGGTGGAGGTCTGGCGGCATGAAGTCCTGGGTGGCCTGGAACCCTGCTTCCTGACCTCCCCTACACACAGAAGAAGGGCCTGCAGATGACCCTGGCATGGGCCTCATATGGTAAGAGGAAAGGCCATGGAATGAGCGTCCAATTTCACCTTCCAAGCAGCCCTTTAAAGTGGGGGGAAGTAAGTGACATCATGGACAGCTGCCACAGGCATATTTGTGTCCTCAGGCCCTGGCTAGGAAGCTCAGAATTGATGATGAGTGGATAGCACATGGGCACATGTTAAGCTGGGCACATAAGTAGCCAGAGAGGCCTCTGAGGGAGAAAAGGGCCAGCTCACCTTATGCCAAGCAAACCCATGCCCACAAAAGACCCCAGATGACATATCCCATCCCTGTCAGATTAAACCCCCAATCTTTTCAAACAGGTCCTGGCACCAAAGGGGCACAGGAGACTGAGTCCATCCCAGCCACTGTCAACAGAGCCCACCTTCCCCAAGTCCCAAGCATGCTGGGGCACACTAAGGCACAGAGGAGGACCACTGTCATGGCTCCTCAAAGCTTTGGTGCCCAATCTCCCTGGGGCATCTGACTCACACAGGGCGAGATGAGTTCGAGTTCACCTCCATGGGATTCACCTGGGCTCCCTGCTTCCTGCTCCCACCTTTGAGGGGGTGGTAGGGAGGAGGCAGGCTCTGCTTGGTTTGGCTAAGTAAGTAGGTTCAAACAAACCTCTTCATTCTTCCCTGCAGTGGAAGAAGCGAGCTGCAAATTCTACATGCCACCCACATTAGAGGCAGTACCCAGTCCCTGACACACACCCAACTTTATTCTAGGACCATATATAAATACCCCAGCTCTGTAGCTGGCTGTAGGCGCCTGGCCCCAGTCAATGACCAGACCCTGAGGTCCCCAAGGACACAGTTTCTGATCAAGGCCTTAACTTAGGTCAGGGTCTGTGTCCTCCAAGGTCTCCTGAGCCCCTCCCCCTTCTGCTGCTCCTCCTTCCCCATACATATGTGGGGGGGGGGCGGGGGTCAGCCAGGGATGGGGAGAAGGGGCACACCCTTGATGACAATAGGGCTGCTTACCAGGTAGTCAGAGCCTGAAGTCCTGCAAACAGTTCCTTTCCCCAGGCCTGGGTGGGGCCTCTGTCCCTGCTGGGTGACCCAAGTCTGGCTTGGCCCCAGCCCCAGCCCCTGGGGAGGCATGCAAGCATTTCTCCTTCTCCAGTTTCTTGTTGATGAAGAACAGATGTGCACACATCTGGCTCGACAACTCCTCAACCTCACCTTACCAGTTCCTCCAACTCTCACGCAGAGCAGGGAGGTGGGGGATGGGGTCAGGGATAGAAGCAAAGAGGGGAGAACTGGGCTCTGAGGCCCTCAGAGGCAAGGTGTCCTTGGCAGCATGTGGTGGCACAGGGAGGCCCAGCTCCCTCTCCAGGGCACCCAGATGAAAGAAAGATAGAAACAGTCTGGAAAAGACAGCTGTGGCCTGAGTCCACAGGGCACACTGGGTTGGGCTGAGGCCGCCTCCCTTCTAGGGCTCGCCAGAGCACTCCTGCTAGAGGGAACAAGACCTCCTCACCTTCACAGAGACCCTGAGGCCGGCCAAAGACAACAGGGGCGGCCTGTTTTCCTCAAAGATTCCCCCACCAGGCTTTCTTACTTGGTTCTCTGCCTCCCCCTGCCCCCCGGCATTGCCCAGAGAACCTGACACTTGCTAACACCACATCCCAGATGGTCACCACAGGGACCATTAACCCCTTGAAGGCAGGACTGACTTCTCTCAACCACTCATCCATCACTCTGCATCCTGGCTACAGGCCAGAGTTGCCCATTCCAAGGATGGGGCCCGGGAATCTGTAGTTTAAACTCACCACACAGGTGCTTTTAAGGTGACCACCTGGGCAAGGGCTGGTGGACTCATGTAACCTATAAGGACTCTGAAGCCCAGAGAGGTTGCGAATTGCCAAGAGTCACACTGCAAATGAGTGGCAGAGTCCAGAGTCTTCTCCGTACTCTCTGCTGGCCACAGAGCCAGGGGTTCCACTTACCCCTCGTGCTGGAGCTCCTGGCCACCTTGAGGCTCGTCGATATACCAGCTGCCATAGGAATAGTCGTCTGTGTCCCCTGAGGAGGTCTGGTTCCGGGCGGCCTCGGACATTCTCCGGTCCTTCTCCTTTGACTCCCAGACAAAATGAAAAAAAGCCACTACAGATGTGAAAAGAAGCTTAGAAGAAAAAAAAAAAGAAAGAAAGAAACCCAAACAAAGAAACGTTTCTCTTTAATCCTAAAGGTTACTTTCTTTCTTTTAGCTCTCTGGGAAAAGTGTGTCTGGGAGTGAGGGCCTGGTCTGGCTGGCAAGGGGAAGGGGAGGGGGAAGAGGGGAAGGACTTCTTACGTCCCCACCCGGTGCCGCAGGAGGTAGCTGTCTCTTTAGGTGTCCTTGAGCTCTTGCTGGATCACCTGTCTGTCTAACTGTCTGACCACCAGCAGGCTTTCGCTCAAAGGATCATTTTCAAAGAAAGTTTGTCCAATCTGAGCTGCCCACAGAGGACCCCTCCTTCCTTCCCCCTCCCCAAACCCACTCAGAGAGACCCACAAACACATACTCAAGGAAGGGCCAGGGAGGAAGGAGCTGCAGAGATGAAAGGGTGTGCTGGCTTCGGGGCGGACTCGGCTAGTCTGCTGGACCCTCCCAGCTGGACTCCCAGCCCGTTCAGCCCAATCCCCCTCTTTGTTCAGGCTCCCTGGAGATCACCCCTTTGGGTCTCAGTGGTGGGAACACACTATGGTCCTGACAGAGCCCCCTCCTTGGTGGAGGAGGCCCCAGCTCCACTGGCACCTGGCCCTGCACTGACTGGCACAAGTACCTGCCTTCAGCACCTGCCCCAAAGCTACCACACCTTTGCCCACTACATCTGCAGGGCCTCATTCTCACTCTAGTCGCTCTGGCATTCTGCAACCCAAGGAGATAGCTGGGGCTGGGCTAGGCAAAGATAGGAAGGGAGCCTATCTATTTCTTCTCCTGGGTTTCCATGAAGGAGGCAACATGTGTCTGGTAAAATTTTTTGTTTCTCCCACTTGATTTCACAAGAAGATAACTCACCCCCACAAGGCACAAATTAGTCCTTTAAGCACGAACCAGACCCATGTGTAGGCAAGGAGAAACCCTCCTGCTTTTTGCTCCTTCCAGGGTATCTGGTGAAGGTAAGGATGAGTAAGGCAGGGCCTTAGTAAGGGCTGGGGTTCCTCTCCATCTTCCTTCCCCTAAGAAGCTGCCCCCCAGCCCATTTCCCTCCCCTTCCTGTTCAAGCCTGGATGGGGAGTAAGGGCATGAGACCAGATGCAGAGGAAGGCGGAGAGCAGTTCTCAAGCCCCTACCCCTGGGTGGGGATCAGGACCCCTGAACCTTTGAGGGTCCATTCTTCCAGTAACCCATAGTGGGCCTGGGCCGTGGCCCTACCTAGCTTAGGCATCCATTCAACAGAGTTTTTAAAAAGATATCCATCCCCTTATTCTTTTAACGTAAATTCATTGAACACCTACTAAATGCCAGCATTGTTCTGGGCCATGGGATGTGAGCGTGTACAGTTTAGGGGACACAGACAAGTAGGTAAATGACCTCAAGTGTCTGAAGATCATAAAGGGAAAGCAGAGTGCCCTAACATGTGTACCACGGGAGACAATTTGGTCTGAAAGAATGAGGGGATTCCTGAAGAAAGTAACTTTGAGTGAAGATCTGAGAGCAGGAAAAAATCAGCTGAGCAGAGGGTGGGAGTTAAGAGGAGGAGGAGGAGCGTGGAGAAGCATGATCTCAACAGAGGGAGCAGCATGGGAAAAGGCTCAAAGGGGACAGGGCTTGAAATCTTAAAGTCTTCCCATCCAAATTCCGTAAGCAGGCCCACAAAGCCTTTCAGGAAGAGGGCCTTGGCTCCTCCCGCTTCTTCCCAAATGGCCCCTCTTCCAGGAAGAGGGCTCTGACCATCCCTCCCCAACCCACGGAATTTCAGTGTCTGCTGACTCAGAGCTGAACCTGAACTTTATTTGATGCAGTGCAGGAGCCCATACCGCCTGTCTAATCCCAGGGATTTGGGGTGAATCCTGCCTCCCAGGCCTGGCTGTGAGCTCCGAGGACATAGTTCTGCCTCTTCTCCTCCACCTCCCCCCTTCCCCTGATACACAGTGCTTAGGTCAGAGGGACCTTATACCTGGACTTGGCAAAGCCATGCTCTTTCTGGAGACCATCACTCCTCCATGGGCCTGTCCTGTGCGTGCTACTGTTGTGCCCTGGTTTATCCAGTCGGGCTTTCTAGAGCCTGACAGCCCCTTCATTGCTCATAGGCCTCAGACAGGTAGCTTAGGGAGCAACCAACTCCTATTTGATTTTAAATCCGCCTCATGATACCTCTAAAAATTAGAGTCCAGTCTGTGACAGGAAGCTTACTTCCTCTACAAGGCAGAGATGTTCATGGTGGGACATCTGTCTGTCAGAAACTACTTCCTTCCCTGAAGGGAGCCTGAATCTACCCCCCAGCCTGGTTAATTCATTCATTCACTTATTCATTCATTCACTCAACAAATGTCAATTGCATGCCGACTGTGTGCCAGCCAAGGTTCTACATGCTGAGAATACAGCAGCAAGCAAGATAGATCAAGTCCTGTACCTCAGGAAACCTAATGTGTGGTGGGGGGAGCGGGGAGACAAAATGCGTCATGAGTGCTGAGAGGGAAAATAAAGCGGGATAAGAAAAGAGATAGACAGACAGGAGTTGGCTTCTTTAGGTCAGGAAAAGCCTTGCTAAGGAGATGTTATCTGAGCAGAGGCCTGAAGGAAGAGAGGAAGGTACCCAACTGGGCACTGAGGAAAGGCATTAGGGCTGCCTGCAGGAGCCTCCAACAGCCTCGGGGGCCCCAGGCAAGATGAGGCACAGTCCCTTCCCCACAACACCCCTCCCTGAGCCAAACCCTGCTCTGCCCCCAAAGGTACTTCCAGCGGGACCACCCCTCCCCCCAGAGATAGTGCAGGGCCCATGATATCCCCACCCTCCTCAGTAGAGTGATGCAGAGGCCACTCTCAGGGAGGCCCTCAGCAGAGGTGAGAAAATGGTGAGCTTCATCCAACTCCTAGGTGTGGGCACAGGGGCCAGGGACCAGTCTTGTGCCCAGCACCATGGTCAGGGTCAGGACTGGGCTGGGAACAGAAAGGAGAAGGTCCAGGAGGTAACAGCACGGTTTCTACATGGCAGTGGAAAATACTGGTTGGGGGAGGCAGCCTACCTGGGTTTGAGCCCTGGGCTGGCCCTGTGACCTTGAGTAAGTCCCTTCATCTCTCCAGAACTCAGCCCTGCCTCTGACCCAGGAAGGGTGGGTCATCCAGCCTAGAGACTCTTTTATTGTGAACTCTCCTCTCCCCCAAGGCCCCCACTCCCCGCCCTCAATGACTTCATGGTCCCAGAATGTGGAGCCAGCATACCAGGTTAAAGCCACAGAGAGCAGCTGTGACTGTCCAGGCATCTCCCATTGCCTTATACCCAGATTCCTGGCCCCTCTTCCCCTAACCACTCTTACAGGGGCCGGAAGACAGGCTAGATTGGAGATCCATGGATACTGGGTGGCCGTGTAGCTCAGGATGGGAGGGGCACTTCTTGATCCTAAAGTATCTCCTCAGCTTGGAGCTAGAATAGCTTGGAACTTGCATCTGCAAAATGGGAGGGTTAGCTCTGAGGTGTGGGACTGCAAGCTGGCAAGGAAAAGTAATAAGAGGAGAAAGGGTAATGAGGTTCTCCTAAAGAATTTCTCCCAAGGCCTGGCAGCAGAGTCCAGGACCTGCCCTCTGGAGTTCGCTTTACAAGGGGAGACACACTTGAAAGAGTAGGAAACCAGCACCTGCCACCAGGAGAGGAGGGGCCAGAGAGTGGAGGTACTTGAGAGACAGACTGCAGAAGCTCAGAGGAGAGGAGTGGGGAGGAGGAGTGAGGAGATGGTTTGGGCAGTCTTGAAGGCTTCCTCCTGGAGGAGGGGTCCTGGAGTAGGGCTCTAAGATCAGACATGGTCAGCAGTGGTAGCTGGAATGAGTGTAAGTGTCTTCGGAGAGCAGAGAAGGGGAGTCTAAGAGGCAAGGAGGGAGCAGGGCAGGGGGCAGGGCTTCCCAGCTGTGGCTTTCGAGAACCCATGCAGATGAGGCTGATGCCATATCCAAGGAGCAGCCCAGGCCAGCGGGGCTCTCTCTGCTGGGTGCAGATTAGGGTAGCTTAGCCCTGCTCACTGTGGGAGGAGGCTAGCAAAAAGCATCCGGGCTCTGAGCAGACAAAGGCAGTCTGCCCTGCCCCTCTGGCTGGAACTGGCCCAAGAAGTCCTTGGGACTGGGCTTCCTTCCTCCCCCTGTTTTTCTTCAAGTTGATTAAATCTGGGGAATTTTTGCATCCAGAAACAGAGGCCCATGTGCGTGTGTACCTTCCTTGGCCTGTAGTTACCAGAATCCTCAAAGGGCAAAGTGTTACACTTAAAAGGAGTGGACCAGAATGAATGCATAAGGTCAGCAGCAGACCCAGGACTCAGAAACACCCCCAAGTATGCCCAGGACCCCCAAACCATCTCAAGAATCTCAGCAATAGCCCCAGAATTTTAATAACACAACAAGAACCCCAGAACCTCAATATCACCTCGATATCGCCCTCATGAATCCCCAGAACTTCATGAACACACCAGGACATCTAAAATACCTCAGGACCTCAGGACCTCAGCCACATTCCAAGGACTCTCAAACTCTGGCAAATCAGGCAAGAAATCTGATTGAAACCATGGTGAGCAGTTACAGAAACCCAGAGACCCCCATTGCTCACCATCCTCCCATCCCAGCCCTTGGCTCTCTAAGTCCAACTGCTCCCTTCAAAAGTTTTACACCACCCAAACCTCAGTAAAGCCGCAGAGCCTCAGAAACACCTCGAATGCCATCAGCACAACAAAGAATCACCAAGGGGGGCTCTGGTCCAGGAGTTGGGGGGATAACCCATGTGCCTGCTTGTACAGCCTGTCCCCCCTGTGAACCCATGGATAAAAGGGTTCCACCCCATGCAGGCCAGAAAGCTAGGGGGCTGTACTCATCTACACAGTGCACTCACACACCTATGGAAATGCCCCTGGTAGACATATGTGCCTAACCCTGGCTCCAGACCCAGCCTGAACCCACTCAGTGCCTGGAATGCAGTGTTGCTGGCTGCAAAGGTCATGAGGGGAGAGTGTGGACAGCTCTGTACCCCTTACCTCCCTTGCTATGTAGGAGTATCAGAAGCATCATGTGACATGCCATTTCTAGAACTCTCCTGCTCCCTCACCAACAGCATCATCAGAAAATAAGGGACTTAGGCCAGACCGCTCTGGTATGAGTGTGGATACTGGTGAGGAGGAGGAGGGTAGCTGCCTGTTCCCAGAAAGCAGGCTGTTCTTCCCCTCCCAGAGGACTAGGCTAGAACTGACTCAGAGGAGGGAAGGCAGGGAGACAGATTTCAGCTCAAGACAAAGATAGTTTTCCTGCTTCACAGAGTAGTGAGCCCCCCATAGAGCAGGGAGGCAATCACGAAGAGACTGGTATCAGGATGCTACAGAAGTTTTCCTGTCTTCAGAGGAGGACTAGCCCAAAGGCCATGACAATTCCCTCAGCTATAAGAGCCCTGGATTCTCCCTTCCCAGCACGTCCTCCCTGGGGTGGTGCCACCACAGTCTGGCCTTGACACGCAGGCTTTGTGCTGCCCTCCTTCCTCACTGAGGACACTGACTGCTGGGCAGATCCCCTGAGTGCTCTCTCCTTGTTCCCATAGGACAGGACTCTCCATCGATCTCTTGCTCACAAGCAGCTCCTATTCAGACATGACTCTTCTTGCCTTTTGGAGCTCACGCTAGCTCCCCAGTATCCCCCAGTATAGCCATCTCCAGGTCTCCAACCTCATCTCTCGGAATTGCTCAGCCCTACCATTCCTGCCCGCTTCCTGCCTCCAAGCCTTCGTTGGTGCTCTGTTCCCCGCAGCATGCCATCTCCCTGCTCCCCCCACCTGTTTCAGTCCTACCTGGCCCACCTCCACCAGGCGTTCTCTTGGCCTCTCCCTTCTGTATCTCTTCCTCTCCTTATTGATCACCCTGGGAAGTCCTGTCCCTCCAGGCAGACGGGGTGCTCCCCAACAACTAGAGCCTCCTCCTCTGAGCGCCAGCACAGGCTCTGGCTGGGATCCCAGAGGGCTGGCTGGTTGTGCAGTTTCAGCACTTGGCCCTGAGCAACGTCCTCAGCACCTGCTTTCAAAGGTGTTTGATCTCCTCCCAGAAAGGCAGCTCCTTCCTTCCCACCAGCTCAGGCCAGGCCCCTCCTCCAGCCCCCAGGCCTCCTGCCTGTGATTCAGAATCAGAGAAGCCCACCCCACCCCCACTTCTCCAGCTCAGGCCTACAGCAGGGCTGGGGCCCCACACCACACACAGGACAGCTTGTCTCCGGAGGAGCGTCTCCACCCCTCAAACCATTTGCCCGAAACTTGATCTCCTTGGCCCTCAGAGTCACCTCGGTGGAGAAGCCTGCTCAAGGCTTTGATGGTTGAGTTCCCCAGCTGTGGCCCTGGATGGGCTCCGGAGCCCCCTACCTACCCTCATTTGTCACCATCCATCACTGGGGGCGGGGCAGATTGCCTGATGAATTGCACCAAGCTGGAGGGGAATCACCAGCTAAGCTTTTAATAACTTGATCAGCATTCCTG